CTACCTTTATAAAATCTCATTAACATGAAGTAGTAGGGGATATGCATATCGCAGATTGTTGAGAATAAGTGGTATAGGTGGTAATTTTTTTTTTTCTTCTTACTGTCTTTAGAAAGTAATTTGACGGTTAGAGTACTAATGTGTGGGAGATACAGTTTCAGTTCCCTTCTCTGCGTGCAAAGATTCAAATAAGAAGGTCACATTACCCAAAAAAGTGACCTAGTTGTTTAGTTCTAGAGAAAAGAAATAAGCTCTCCTGTTGAAGTGGTTCTGACTTGCTGTGAACTAACTGAGTTCTCACCGGGCCAGAGAGGAAACACCATTCTCTAACTGGGGGTTACAGCACTTGTCTAAATTTTGGGCCCTGTCCCAAAGTACATTGGGCTTTTGAGCTACTGATTTTTTTTTTTTTTTTTTAAATGCTGTTTGTGGAAAGGGCTGCAAGTCAGAATCCTGTTAAGCTGTCTAATCATTAAACTAGGGTGAAGTTCTTCCTCAGTGTTACGAATCTCTGAGGCAGTTGTCAGTCTTGCCTTCAGTGCCAAGGGCTGAAAATTTAAGTGCTGTGTTTGTTGTCACAGAAAACTGTTATCCCTTTGTGGGCTGAGCCCTAATGGTAAAAGGACGCTTAAGAAATCATTTAGTGATGTGAATTGAACCCAGGTTTTACAACGAATAGGTGTAACACCTGGAAATATAGTCCAGTTTTTCATTATGTGGGTTTCAGATAGTGCAGGAGAGAGTAAGCCAACTTTGTGTGTACTTCTCATTATAGCAGTATCAGGGGTGCATAACTTTTGAGGAAAGTTGTTAATTAACAGCTGTTGATGATCAGCAGAAGAGAGCTCAGACATTGGTGCTATTCTGATGCAATGGATCAAAAAGTAAAGGTTAGAGGTTTAGTGGCTAAGGTTTGATTTTTTTTTTTTTTTTTCTTCTTTTTTAGTGTAAAAGGTTTTATGGAGCCCTGTTAAAAGCCTTGACATTCCAAAATCACCCTTGAGAGTTTTAACAGTTTAATGAATATTGAAGCAGTGAGCTATTTTGTAGAATAGGCTTTGGGGGATGGGAGGGGGAAAGCTGAGGGACAAAAAACCCTAAAACAGGCAAAACCGCCAAGTTTGATGTTCAACTCCTGTAAAGCTATACATTTTCAAACCCTTCATCTTATGTTTATTTTAGTATTTAAAATGTGTGTTTACAAAGAATATAGATAGAACTACACAGCAAGCAGCGTGAAACAAATAAATACTAATAAAATAGTACTGTATAAATCATATAGCAAATAACAGAAATAACTAAAAAACTAACAGAAAGAACTAGATGTAAGCTAGAATGAACGCATGAATATTTTGAGTAGCAAATAGTCATTAATATGCTATCTCATGTGCTGTATTCATATTTTAGGTTCATAAGAGGAGCAGGCATTTGGTCTTAATGAAATATGCTAAATAATACTTTTAAGTTGCTCTGCTGATTTTTTTTTTTTCCCTCCACCTTGTATTTTTTTTTTTCCCAAGTGTAGATGGCAATTACTAGGTACTCCAATATATCTAATTCAAAGTTATTTGAAGATAGAATTCTTAACTAGGTAACTTAACCATGCTCAGCAACTGTAAATTGTTACACGTTGAAAGAACCCTACAAATGTTAGCATTCTGTAAACTACAGTGTTGCTAAATTAATTTACCCTTGCCAGGTATAGATGTGAATAGCAACAAGAGAGGTCTCCAATTCATCCTAATGTGAACATGCCATCCTGAAATGGCTCTAGCTACTGCCTGTCTATGATGTATCCATTTATCTCCCCCAGTATATAGGAATAAATTCTGTACAATTTCATTACTATCTGACACTTGGGCCTGCCGTAGGAGAGAATTGAGCTCAACTGCTGATGTACCTAGAAAGGGTTGTTCTATTAACTTTTCTGTTCTTCAGTTTGTCATCCTCTACTATTTTGGTAGGATTTTTTTTTTTTTAAATTAATCACATTAAATAACACAACTTCTGATAGTGTTTTCCTTGGGTTTTCTAGTAGTATGCAATGGATACAAGTTCTGGCATGTATGACATTGTTTTTTCTAGACTATTTGAAAGGCTTAAGTTGTTTTCCTTGATCTTGTGACAGTGAGTGGACACCCAAACATTAGCAAAGAATGGAAGACAGATTGACTTAGTTTTGGCCTCTAGTTCCAGTAACGTGAAAGAAAGAGTAGCCCTTTTTTGCTACTGCATACCATGATTAACTCACTCATTTTGCTATCAACTTTTGTCAGAATATATTGTTCTTGTAGTTTTCAGTGTTTCTAACTTCGTAGCGTGTTTTCTTTTTGCTTCCTTAACTCTCTTCTGCTAAACATGTTACATGGTATTGTGTACTAGCTCTTCCCCCATCAAGTTCCACAGCAAGTGAAGTAGAAGCCCTATACAGTGGTAAAGTTAACTTCTGAAGCGATTTAATATACTCATAAAGTAAAAATGTGTTATATATGAAATATTATTTTCATAAATTGGCATGTGCTAGAGTTTCTGTAGGTTAAGCTGTATCAACACCGACATTGAATTCCTGGCCCACTGAAGTCAATGAGACTGAGATTTCATCATAAATGTATAACTGTTACAACAGAGCTACACATCCTCTGAGGCAACTTCTATAAGAAGAGGTAATTTTTATTATTTATGCCAACTGACTTTTCTATCATTTCTTTAATCACAGATTGCAACAAAAGATGGTGCACTTTGGAAAGTGGCTTTCTGAGCTACTATGAAAATGATAAAACTACCACTCCTAATGGTATGATTGACATCAATGAAGTTATCTGTCTTGTAGTGCACAAGTCAGACTTCTTTTTAAATAGAGGGTAGGTTCCCAGATTAATATTTCAATAAACAAACTCAGGTATTTCAACGATTTTATTCTGGGTTTTCAGAGAGGTTCATTTTTTCCTGAATTTTGAACATGCAATTTAGAAAAAAGAGCTGAATTGTTTTATGTTGACTTCAAGAAATAACTGCTAAGTGGTATTTGGGGATGTTGTTTTGGGTTTTGGTTTGTTTTTTGGGGGGCTTTTTTTTTTGTAGTTGTTGGTTTTTTTAATAGCGATACAATGAAAATGTTAGGGTAATTTAAAAGGGCAGCATAAATTAGATACATCTGTTTCTTATTAAAACTGTAATGCATATTCTCAATGCTTAAAAGGTTACGTAATGATAAATTGAGCAATTAATACTCATTTTGCTTTCTGGGATTGACCTCTGCCTCAAGCCAAAACTCTTGCTTTGTTTCTTCCTGATTAATAATGCGGCAGATTAGGGTTCTCCACAATGCTTTTCGTTTTGGTCACAGATCTGTCAGTCTTTGAAATCCATTCTTTGTTCTGCAGTTGAGGACAACCACCTAACTGTTGAACATTGTGTTAGTTTGAAGATAACTGGTTTTGTGGTCTTGTTTTTCTTTAATAACTCTCTCACATCCCATTTGTACATTAAAAACATCATGTGGAAATTCACCTAAATCCGAGTTGCATCCCAGTGATACTTGATTTCTTTAGGGCAACATTTTTGTTTAAATGATAGTTTGGATCTGTGTAGCAAACTCCATAACACTTCCTTTTAAATTTCTTTATATGTGTGTGTATGTAAAATAACAAGATCTTTCTACAGCGTAATCCTGTAATTCTTGTAGTTACAAAGAAAAAGTGTCTGCAAATAAAATGGAGTCTATTCGGTAAGCTTCTGGAAAAGATAACGGGAAGAAAGGACTTTAGCTACTACAAAGATAAAGGGTGTGCAGAGAGGAGAAATCCTGAAACATGGTGATGCCTCAACATGCTATAAAATACGGTGGACATGGCCTTCAGTATTCTGCAGTAGCATAACTTCGTGGTATCCAGAAAAAAGCAAAATACTACTTTCTTCTTTTGTCATTGAATCTAACCTATCACTTTTTACATCTCAAAATGGTTCCACTTCAGGATAATACCTAAATTAAAAACATGTTGGCCGAATACTTCACTTTTAGGGAATGACTAACCTCCTGCTGTGCTTTACCTGCAACTGGGTAGTTTCATGAGAAACTTCCCTAAATTTGATATTTCTTGTAGTGAAACAATTGGTCCTTAAAATGTCTATTCTATTAGTCAGAATTAAGTGTTTACACTTAATTTTCAAAGTGGTTATTGAAAATGAGAGAACTGACTTATGTTCAATTCTTCAGATCTAGACAAATCTCAACTCCAGTATTAAAAGGAAAAAGTCTGCTCCATCTATTTGGATTCTAGGGAGAGGTAGCAGATGAAATAATATGATAAATTGATGAACCATAATTTATAAGTTAAAGGCTGACCCTAAGTCCAACAAGATATATACTTTCCAATTTCCACCCCAATTTCAACTGGTTTGCTTTTTCTTCTTTCTCTTACTTCTTCTTTTACTTCTCCTTATTATTTGTCAGTTAAAAATAGAAAAACAGGGTCTGTCTGTTTAAATAATGATATACTTTTTAAAAAGGAAAAAACCACGAAATGCCCCAAAAAAACTTCTAAGAACTTCTCGAGCTACAGCAACTTCAAAGGGTAGTCATAAACACAACAGAACCAAACCCTTCTTGGTGGTGGCAGGTGATACAAGGAGTGGCAGTGGCCACACGTTTTACCCTAGGAGATTCAGGCTGGATGATAGGAAAAGCCTCTTCGTTAGAAGGCTGGTGGAGAACAGGAACAGGTTGCTGAGAGAAGTAGTAGTCTCCATCCTCGAAGGTTTTCAAGGCTTTTCGTTGCTGTTTTGATCTATAGTTAGTGATAGTCCTGCTTTGAGCAGATTAGACCAAGTGACATCTAGAAGTCCCTTTGAACCATTATTTCTATGATTCTGTGGTAACTTGTTTACGTCTTCCCACTGAATGAGCTGGTCTGCTTATATTAAACCTAAACAAAATGTTTTGAACGCATCGCAAAAATATGCTTGCTGAAATCACATGAACTTGCAAAAGCAAAAAATTCCCTGTCAATTTTAATGACTATATGTAAACACTTTTATTAATTTCAGAATTACTGAAAAAACTATTATGCAGTAGCCTCTAAACAGGTATTATTGACCTGAAAAGCACTTTGATCATGTTGTGTTATAAAATAATTTGTTATTAGCTGGGTTGTACTTGGAAGATCGGAGGAGAAATGCAAATGGATTCCATTCCATAGGTATGAAATAATGAAAAAACAGAGGGAGAAACGGGACTCTTGTGTGTCTACTGTTATGAAGACTAAGTGCAGCTGCCTGTTTCCTCTTGCTTGCTTTAGGGACGTCTTTACCTTTGAAATCTACTTAATGTCAGAACGTGTTTTTCTGTTTGGAGCTGAAACTGCATATTCACAAAGAAAATGGACTTGGGCAATAGCTAAGGTAATACTGATAATTATCTTTTCCAGTTAGGCCAGGAGCCTTTGCACAAAGAAGAAAGTGGCATTGTTAGCTTAAAATCCTCCGAGAAGCCATTCTTGATGAATACTGATCTATCTCGTGTAAAGGTTTCTTGTGCAGCAGGAAGAAATAACTTCTGTGATTTAATGTATGAAACAAGATAATATAATAAAATGGAAAAGGAATTGAAGCAACATTTTAATGCCGACCTTAAGAATATATTAAAGGTGCTCTAGTATGCTCTATATATATACTATATGAATTTATTTCAGCTAATTTTTTATGGTTGCAATTCTATTGTTTTATTTGCTGAAACAGAGTTCATAAAGCAGTACCATATTTTATACAGTACCAAATGCTGGGTCATACTACTAATTAAATCAATTGCAGTTTAAAAAGCGAAAATGTTTAAATTGTAGAGTATGAATTGAAAAAATATACTTGATTTTATAACTTAAATTTAGTGTATATATGGACTGATGAATGATAAATCTGAAAGTTTTTTTACTTTTTACAAGATTACAGATTTGCAATGTCTTGGTTTGGGTTTTTTTTAGGGGAAGAGGGTTTGGGGGTTTTTTTTCTTCATCTGACTCACCCCATTTTCTTTGGTAGCATTTTGTTTCCCCTGTGGCTGAATGCTTATTAGAGAGAGACTGTGACCTGATTGGCCAGCTGTACTACAAAGATTGCCATAACCTGGATCAGTGGAGAAAAGGCTGGTTTGCTATAGAGAAGTCGAGCCTTTATTTTTGTCGTGAAATGGAGAATGCTGAAGGAGATTCCATATATCTAAGGAGGTTGCAAGAACTAAGTAAGAATTTTGCTTAATATCTAGAATTCAGGAAATACTCTACAGAATTAATTCACTGTTAAGGACATTTTTGTTACATTTTAAAGTCATAAACGTTAGGGAGCTCAGTAACTATTCCTTTGCATAAGCCAGATGCTCTCCTGACTCTCTTCTAAATATGGAGTTGGTAAAGTTCTGTCTCTTGGATTTTTTTCCCTACTTAGTGGTACACGCTAGAGAGATTTTTCACAGCTTCATAATGAATGAAGACAATTTTTGTTCCAGTTGCAGCAGTATCTTTCTTACAAGAGTACAGAATTGAATAATAATATATGACCTTTTGGGATTATTGTCGCATATTTTTGACAGGGCAGAAATACTCACTGCAGAACATGTTCTTGTGATTGACAGGCCTAGTTTTAAAATACTCAAATGTACTGGAAAAATTATAATTGTCTTGGAGAACTATTTCACAGACTAATAGACTTTTTTTCTGATACTAAAATATTCTTTGTTCGATATCATGACATGGAAAGATAAGAATATTTATACAAATGGTCTTCTATAACCGACTTTATATCATTGTCTGTAATTATGCTCTGAATCCTCTTTAAGCATATATGCCCTACTTGTTTTTATATTGAACAAGGCAATATGTTATGTAAGAAAATAAAAATAATTTGAGATTTTATATTAAAGTAACACAGAGAAGATAATTTAGCTCTTTATTGATGATCCTCTTTGTAAATGCTGTCAGATTATGGATTGTTTTGCAGGAACTTGCCTAAATGCCATTGGGCTTTCTACTGTTTATTTACTGCCACCTTACATTTACTGTGAATAACACCGTGAAGGTGGTTTTTAATCAGGAATATTTTTAAGCCTCTAGCTGTCTTTCAACTTGTGAATATTTTTTGATCTTGATGCAGAATTAAAAGGTTAGGCAGTAGGAGAACTGTGTCTGATATTAGTTTTGATAATGCAACTGCAATTGCTCCTACCCTAATCATATAAGCATCCAAAAATCTGTGTGTATCTCGAGTATAGAAATGAAACACATATTTAGCTTTCAGTTGAAAATTGGTTTTGCTTGGGTTTTGACTTTTAAATATTAGTTGTATAACAGAGTTGTATTTCTTGGGAATATTATACATCCATACTCCTATCTTTTCTTTGATTTCTTTGATTCCCCAAAATAAATCTGCTCCACTATTAAGACTGAACTGTAACTGAAACTTGTCAAATAATGAATCATCAGTGGAAATACACTGGAAATACCCTTACCTTCTTAATATTTGACTCAGTAAATGTCAGTGAAGCCAGGTGTATGTGTGATACAAACCCATCATATAACATGCATCAGAATATGTTTGTTGAGCTTCATTGATATTCAGGAATTTACTGTCTCTGGGGATTAGTTGAAATAAGATGTGGATTATATAGAAGACCTAAACTTTGAAAGAATTAAGTTTTCACAATTCTGAATTAGTAAACAGGTTACATTTAATTTACCATTTTTAGTATAGTGCACAGTATAGTTTTATAAGCACTGTTATTGGAAACTATCCAGATGTATTTTCTGTATTATGTGTAACATAGGTGTTTTGCAGGGTGCTTTTTTTAGCAGGAATAGCATAAGCCAACATAAAGAAGGGTGGCAGCGATCCTCACAGTATAACATATAACTCATGTTATGTTATTGTAAATAATTGCAGCCATTAGAGTGCAAGTTAAATTAATTAATTAAAAAATCCAGCTTACTTCTGAATTACTGTGTTTTCTAAAACTTGTATTTACAAGTTTAATATAATAAAACACTGTAGCATGTTTTCACATTAAAAAGTACCTGTTTAACAGTTCTTTATAATTTTCTGTATTAATTTTTCTTGTAAATGTGGGTGTATTGTGGTATTTTGTGGAGTTTTGTTTCTATTATCAGCAGCATTCTATATTGGAAGTGTTTAAGAATTCCATGCTCCTTTTCTCACTGAAGATCATTTTGAAAAAACATGTCTATATGTGCATGTATGTGTTTGTCTATATATATGTGTCTGTGTAGATCATATGAATGTGTATGTATTTTGTTTTCAGCAATCAGCAGTGTGATGCAAAATGGAGAGAAAATAGATGTCCTGCTGCTTGTTGAAAAAGGAAGGTAAGGTTCCCATCTGAATAAAGCTTTGATCTGCTTTTATATTGATGTCTTCGAATTCTTGCTGATCAGTCATGGAGCTTTTTCACTTGCCGTTGCTAGAGAGAGAGTAAATTTGCAGACTTTTTAAAGGAGGGAAAGTCTTTGTGTATTAATTACGTTTTATGTCTGTGTCAGGAAATGCTAACAAGTGCTGCTTAATTAGAAGCAGTTTTCCCACTGAGAAAACTATTCCCAGTCAGATTAGTCTGCCAATAACCGTTTCTTCAAAAAGACCTAACTTCTTTTACCCTGTAAAGAAAGAGTACCTCTTTGGAGCATTTACCACTTACTTCTCACTTTTTTTTTATCACTCTTATGTCCCAGAATTCTGTGTCTCAATCTGTGTAGGTCAGGATTGAGAGGTTATGTATGAGTCCCTGGTTAGTCTTATTGTAATGTCTGATCTCAGTTAGCAACATGTGGGCTAGAGAAAAACATACTTGTGAAGCAAACATGATCCATGTCTGCTTCCAGGTAGGTGACCTTCTGCTGAGATGAGTCTGTTAAGTATAGTGATATGGGAAGTTGAAACTTGAAGTGAGATAGGATATTTCTGCCTCATACATGGGAAAATATATAAAGATTAAAGTAAAATTATTGAAAATAATTCTTATTTTGTAACAGGTTGGGGATTTTTTTTATCTCAAAGATAGATTATTGGGCAAGTGTCTGTGTAAGAAGTGGTGCAGTGTTTACACAATCTTCTGAACAGCCAATAATAGGTTAATAAAAGAAGATTGGTTTTCTCTTTGTTGGGGAAACAACAACAACAAAAAAATCCCACAGATACCTTTGACATCTATTCAGAGTTGGAGAAACTTGTTGGAGAACTCACTGTAATTTACGTGTTCTGAATTTTAACTCTTCCTAAGATAGTGTTTCGGTTACAGAGTTCCTTAAGGTGATGCAGATCAAAACCAAACACTTTTTCCTGTTGGGTTTTTTTCAAACAAGCATATTGAAAGATTCAGCATTAAAAGTAAGCTGCATAGACCAACCAGGGAACCAGAGGTATCCTATTCGATGTGCAGTCCAAGAGATAAATACAAACTGTGCATCTAATTTCATAGATACTGGTGCTGAGCAAAACTCCTAGCTCCAAGTCAGCTTTTATTATTTCTTTCGTTATATTTCTCGCAAGTGAGGGTAGGTTTTCCCTGAACTGCTTTAATAGTTTAATGGAAATTCTGAACTATTTGAAAATAATTTCAACAGGGGCACCAGCTGATTTATGGTGGCTATGAATATGTTTAAATTTTCTTCACTGAAGTCTGCTATAAAGCATTCAATTGCATAGCGTTCGCATTATCTTAACCATTAAAAGCCATATGGGTATATAAGCTTTGGCATAGCAATTCTTGCTTAGGATATTACTCCAAAACTATCCAGGTGTTCAGCACAGTTGCATGATATTGCATCTTGCAGTGATAAGAAATTTAATGTGAGTGTGGGGAAAATGATTAAATATAAAATCACCTCTGTTTTAGACTCAGTTATTGTAAATGGGAAAAAACCCAGCAATCCTCCTTCTGCCCCTACAAACCCTAGATAAATTAATTAATACCTTTGAGAAGTCATCAGCATCAACTAAATGATAGATCATAGTTTCTAGGTTTTCCTATTTTGTCTGTTATTTTATAGCAGTGCTTGTCTAATGCCAAGTTTGGCATAGATTGATCACTTGGAAGAGACTCTATCTTACTGTTCTATTGACAAGTTTCACGTTCATTTGTTAGTCACTTAAACACAGGATAAATGATAAAATCCCCCAAAACAGTATGTCAAGAATGAAACAAAATGAGTAAGATTTTTCAAGAATTAAGAAAAATTTGGAGGGGAAAAGAAAAAAACCACAAAAAAAGCCAAAATCAAAACAAAACACCACCCTTTTCTGCATAAAGAAATAAATGTGGTCCATGTCTTGCAACTTCTTGCTAAATTTTATCAGAAGAAATGATGAAAATACCTTGAGTATTTTCTTTCTGAAGCTCATACTCTTCCTGATGGCTTTGTTACTGACCTCAAACTAACTTCCCATTACTTACAAATACTTATGCCTTTTTTTTTCAAGTGTCAGTCATTGGGTTGATTAATTAGGGAAGATCATACGTTACACGTATAAGATATGTTTTTCTTTGACACTTTTTCCATTGGCTACTGTAGGCAAAAGGATGACTTAAGTTGTTACAAACAGACTTCTCACTTAAGAGTGATTGCATATGCAAGAAAACAGTTTCAGAACTATAAAAACTTCAAGTCTTACTGCTGAAATAATTATAATAAATCTATAAATTCTGGACTTTTAAAAAATACTTTGTAAATTTATGTGTATGTTAAATTCATGGGGTACACAAATTGAATGTTCATCTAATCCATAAGTACTCAGAGGAATTTACAACTGATTTTGGGCTGCAAGGTGCATAATGCTTTCCAGCTTGTATAAAATACAAGAATTCGGAGAGAATACTACCAAAAGACATGTGAGATTTTTCTGAAGTGTCTTAGGTATGAATACAATCCACTCCTGCCCCCTCCCCCCTTTTCTTCTTCCTCTGCCCTGTTTTCTGCTTAGCACTTGCTGTTCATTTATTCTCTGACATGTTCAGTGAAAGAAGACTACCAGCTCAGAAATATGAGGTGGTAATCATACAAACTGTTGTGCATTGCAAAGCAATAGCATATCATGAGAGGCTGCATCAGGCTAAAACATTTTCAAAGCACCAAGACTGTTTCTCTTTTGAAGATTGTTGTTGTTGTTGTTTTTGAAGCTCAGTCTACTTCCTAAATTTTCACAATAATCCTAGACCTTTCCTAATTCTAGATGCCCGCCCCCCCCCTCCCCCCCAGTCTCAAAGATGTTTCATTTTTGTCTTTGGGTATCTTTGCTTTGGGTATCTTAAGTACATTAGAGAGGAACACCATTTGTAGCACCTATTGAAATTTTATTGCACTCTGATCTCTGGAATATATTGTCCAACCTGTTAGAATGATCTCCAACCCAGCTGGAAATTCTGACTTCTCACAACACTGTTTTCTTTTGCCGTAATCAGATTGTCATTTGCCTCTTCTTATGTTCTGCTTTCATAGTTAAAATGCTTCTAGACTTGGTAGAAGTGGCAAACCATTTTACAGATTTCTGTGTCTGACACTTCCCTCTGTCACACAGAGATGTCCTCTGGTTTGCTCCATATTCAGTTTGGGTTTTTTTTCCTCTTGATCTCTCCTCTCTATTTGTAAAATTCCCAAAGTGACTGGTGATATTCAATCTCTTGTTGCCATTCAAACAGAAATTCCACAGTAGATAGGTGAAGAAGTTACTCCTGTGTAGTTCAACAGAGGGATCAGTACACTGAAGAGAATAAAGGTGTCTGAAAACAACTGTATACAGTAATTGTTAAATATATCTTCTATGTATAAAATTTAATACAAAATCTCTGATGCCACACTTTATGGAAAAACAGTTATGTAGACAATTCAGTTTCAAATGTTTCTTTTTTTTTTTTTTTTTTTTTTGTAATCATTTAAGCTCTTTCTCAGGTGTCAGTGAATGTTTTCAGACCATAATGTAATCCAGATGGTGCTTTTTTTTTTTTCCCCATTACACGTCTATTGTAGTTAGCTCTTTCTTATTATAGATAATAAACCTTCCTTACATACTGGCGCAATTTCTTTATGCTGATGGTTCATTAATTACAATGCTTTCTTCTTAACCCTTTGATAACAGTAAGATTTCTTGTAAAATGCAGTTATGAGCACAAAATTGTAGAATCCAGAAATAATCACACATACGACTCAGGTAAGTGAAAGGACTTGTGCTTCCAGTATGATGTGCTGGATGGAAGATATTTAATATCTGTTGAAGTTTTGCTGACCTTTGTTATATATCTGTAATTATTAGTGGAATTTCCATGCTTTAGTTGCAATTTGAGTATTCCTATATGATTTCATAGCAATGCATACCTTCTTAGTACCTCTGTTTTCAGACATGTAGATTATTAGAATCACTTGAAAATTGCCAGAGGGCATTGAGTTGTGCTGATGTCTGTTTCTCACCCTTCCTCCCCACAGCCCTTACCCAGAAGCACTTAGTATCACTGCTTTCCCAATGCAGAGTTGTGCAACAAAGCATACAGACATAGCTAAAGCTAGTGGACTTTGCAAGATAGATTAAAGATAAGCCTTTGCACTGTGTTCACGTATGTTGTTTGTCTGACTGCTGGTGCAGCAGGATGTGATGGTAGTCCACAACAAAGTTTAAAAGCTAACAGCTTTCTTGATGTTGAGACTAGGTGATCTTGGACTGCTGCCGTCATTTGCCTCAATTCAGTTGCCTCAATTCACTAAGGCATAAATCTGCATTGATGGGCCTTCTTGTTTGAGTACTTAAATTGTTAATTTCTTGGGTATGGACTGTGTGTGCTTCACACTTAACAGAGCAAAAACTCTGCCATAATTCACCATGTAGTCACTATTGCTAACTATTTGTTATGAAATGTGCACTCTCTATCAACTTTTTGGACCGCAAGAGGTAGCGCATACATACACATACTGTAGAAGGCACTGAATTTATATTGTAGGAATATGTTTTGTTTCAGAGTCTGTGCAAAGTAGTTGTTAGTCTGCATGATAGGTAGATCTTTGTAAACATTGCAGTAAAAATTCTTTCAAACATGATTACTTCTATAAGCTTAGAAGTATTCTTGATATCAGGTTGCAGTTTTGGGGTACATTGTACATCGGTACACTTCAGCCTGTGTTTATATGCTTAGCCTTAAGCCTTGCATTTAATATAACTTTATATTTTGATAATAGCAATTAGTTCAGTGAGAAATACATGTATTTGTTGTTGCTACTGTCTCTGAAAACTGTGTGGAAGAGATGATGACATTGATATGAAAAGCAGAAGCTAGATTTGCAAAGCTGTCTCTTCATGAAGTTCTGTAGAACACTTCTGCTGTGCTTTGAGGAAAGCTCTGCTTCTCTGCTGGTAACTGTTTCCCCTTTCCTTTTCATGCCACCTTTCAGGTTCATGGAGATCAACAAATGGTTTCCAAGTAGGAAAAAAGAAATGTTAAGTTTGGCTGAAAGTGTTAAAATTAGAAGGAATGCTTAAACTTCTTATTTGTACATTGTTGTGTGTTTTTCTGATTTAAATGTATCCTAGGTGTGCTCTCTCTGCCAAAAACACCACAGCTTGAGATGAGCTTTCTAATCTACTTCCACAGTAAATTGACTGAATTCTGAACTGTGTCTGGTACTGGTTTCATTTCATTTTCTCCCTTCTTCTCTTTTATGGTGTTGTAGTAAATGCTGAAATGACTTCTCGGACTTATCTGACTTTCTTAGGTGACCGCTCTGGAGACTTTTGACTGGGCAAAGTTAATAATATTTTGGAAAATAATTAGTTGACTTCCATGAACAATCTGAGTTCCACAATAGCAGCAAGATTTTTCACATTTATATTTTTTACCAGCAGCTTCCCTTTCATGACTGTGCTGGTGCTATAGGACTGCTACTTAAAGAGATACCCCATTTTCTGTATTAATTACTAAGTAACCTCTTCCTCTGTAATTTGAATTTAACTCAACAGCTTTTCAAATTTTAGAAAACAGTGAGAGCATAATTTCTTGTTAGTACTGATACCTTTTTTTTCTAATGTGATGCATTGAGGGGAAGATGGGAAGGGCCATAGAATACAAGATGGTCTTTTTCACACAGTTTAGGTAATTTGTGTATCACGACAGTTGATTGATAGGCACATGACTTAGACTTTCATATACCTGTGAAAAAAAACACAGATAAGTTTAAATTACCTTTGGAGTTCAATACACTACTATATTTCCTCTCTCCTCCTCTGGTACCAGTTCATTGATATGCAGCAGAGTTGCCCTTTTCTTGTTTAGAAGTAATAATATTTTCACTTTACACTATGCTGCTTCCTGTACATATCATGATTCTTTAGATAACAAAAAATAATCTGTTGAGAATTCCATTTATCCTTTTGCAATATACTGTAATGTGAATCCTGCTGTTCTGCAGGGAAAATAAAACGACAGTAATATGCATATATGTGTGCATCTCTTATGTTGGGAAGCAACACAAATCTTTTATAAATCATAATCCTAACCTCTGCTCATCTGTGAATAATAGTACTAAAGGAATAGTGGAACATGCACTGTCAGACTCTTTTCCACTCAAACTTTCTCATTTCCTCTCCAGCAATACTGGAGGATGTCAGGGTGATGTGTTGTTTGGAAGCCATTGGTTGAGAACCACCCATGTAGTTTATCTGTTCTGACAGGTCTTCAGAAAATGTTTGGAACTATTGAATTAGGCACACTTGTTTTGCTGTAAAAATTTGAGAGCTTTATGCAAATTGCTGTTTTTTCTTTTTTTCTTAATGGAAGAGAGAGGCTGAGTGTTTCAACAAGCCAGATATGTGTGGTGGTTAATATGAATTTCGAAGTCATGAAGTACAGAGTTTTTAAAAAGGGGCTTCAGTCAGGTGAAATATTTTAGTGTCTCCTACTCTGCTGCTGAATGGCTAAGTCTGTATGGTGGATCCTGGGAATACTTCAGACCCTGGGTCTGTGTACATACATTGACTGCATCCTCACTTCCTATTGAGATAGGGATGATAGAGTGGAAATGTTTATAAAAGCAAAATTGAAAGATGCTAATAAAAAAAAAATCAAAATTAAATATTCCAGCATTATATAAAATGCTTTTGCTTTTTCTTCTAAATAGAATAATAAAAATGAATGTTTGTTTATATTTTGATGAAAGTATTTTCACAGAAGTTCAGTAGAACATTCTAACTTTTCCTAATTAGCAATGCGATTGTCATTAAATAAAATGAATCCCTTACATTTCTTTAGTGGAAGACGAAGAGTATTTATGTAGAAAAGTTTGCTTGCTGTTTTAACACTTAAACCAGTTGTTTATTACATACATGCATATCGGTGGACATATACCATTAAACTTTTCAGTTTCCAAATTCTTTTAGAAACTAGCCTGCCAAGGCTAAACAGAGGAGATTATTGTAGCATGTTTAAATAATCAAATCAGAACAGGGCCATGCTTTGGGATAGACAGGTAATGAAAGAGTTGCATTAACCTATTCCACCTCAACTCTTAGGTTTTTCATACATGTTCCTTAACTCTGTGATTTCCTGAGGGTGATCATTTTGATACATGTGAAGGAGGGAAGTTCAATATGTCTCAGGTCCTCTACAGAAGTGTGGGGCATGGGGAACAGAAAAGAAAGCAAGCCTTTTCCATTAATGAAAGACGTCTCTAAATCTCTCCGGCTTAACTGTGACTCGAGCTTAGGAATGCACAGTGTAGGAGCAAGACTGAAGAAAAGTATTTAACTGTTGGTCAGGTCCTTTCAAAGGCCTGTGACAGTGTTTGTGGATCTTCTTTCATTTATTGTGACACTGCTAGCACAAATGTAGCTGGAAAAAAAAAAATGCTGTAACAATAGGCCACCACCACAGCTTTATGTGGAAGGTGCCTTGATGTCTTATTCCAAGTATTTCTTGTTTTTTTTCCAGACATCTGCTATGTTGCTGTAGTACAATAACATCAGTTTTCTAGTTCTTTTCTGCATTCAAAATATTTTTATACTTTTCAGAACACTATACATCCATGGACATACGAAGCTGGATTTCATGGTCTGGTATACTGCAATTGAAAAAGCAGCAGGTACAGATGGTAATGCATTAGAAGATCAGCAGCTCAGCAAAAACGATGTTCCTATTATAGTGAACAGCTGTATAGCATTTGTTACACAGTATGGTAAGTATGGTGGATTTTGCTCAACCTAAGTTCATTTGTATAATACCTTAGCCCCCACACTATCAGATCTTATTGAATGAGTTTATATATTACCTGAAGTAAAACCATACCCCTCATTAGCCTTGTCGCTCTTTGTGATGGTGAAGTACACTGCCACTTGTCTGAGAATGGGCAGTTTGGGGAAATACAACTTGGTAGATGCCCTTTATAGACACCTTCCTATTTTAAAAATCGACTTGTTTGCCTGATGTAGCTCCACCTTGGGGTCCAGTGCCTCAGTGCAGAACACCTCAGCCCTGAAAATAAGCTCTGTGAACCAGAAAAGGCTATGGGCTGGACTGGTCAGCACACCTTCTGGGAAACTGATATTAACTGTGGAGCCAAGTTCAGTCTTAAGGCTGCTGTTTTTTCAGCATAATAGTCTAAGGACATGTAGTCAGTTACCATTTGCTTAAGCAAACCTTGCCAGCATAACTTTCTGTAGCATTAAATCATATACAGAAGATGTCTGTGTCCCTTTTACTACTGCAAATTCATCAGTTTGCTTTTGAAATGTCACATACATATCAACACTGTACAAATCTGTTCAGGATAAATGTGTCTGTAACCTCTGTCAGTATGAGAAAGCCTAATTTATATTTCAGTGATTGAAGTTTAACTAAATAACTTTTGAATGCGGCAACACTGCATTATGGTAAACAGTTGTGTCTGGGTTACAAGTATTGCCTAAAACCAAGAAGAAAAAAATGTTTTTGCTAAATTATTTTTTAATCATTAGCTATAGGAATTATTCTAAGTACAGTTTACACTGTTCGTGCACTGAAATGTTGTTAAAGCAGGGTTATTATGTCCGCCACTCAGAACGATTGCTTGTGTGTGTTCTACATTAAATTCAATTTCCTGATGTCTTTTAAATAAATTAGATCTTTATTGAAAAATATGTTTTTTCAGGGTCAGCATTACTGGGTGTTAAAATACTCATTTGAAAGCTGAAGAATTTATTTGTATGCATACATGTTTTTGTGTCACCATAGTAAAGGTTCTGTCTTTAGTTGTAGTCTACAGATGACAGACACTATCAGGTCCTACAGCTGTTCCTGACAGTAACAACACAAAGGCAGTATCAAATGGTAGTGCTTGTGGGCATTACAGGAAAGGTGAATTGCAAGAACATGAGATGTGATTTCATAGGTTTTGACAGAGTACTTAATTTGACAGGTACATAAGAAAAGCAGGGTTTTGTAAAAAATACAGTTCTCTTTCAAGAAATGTGGGGAATGTGGGAAACACCTCTACAAAGAGAAACAACAGGACTGTACATCTATGCCAAACTTCCACAAGTTCTTTAAAAAAAAACAAAAAAAAAATTGGCTACTCTCATATGCAGTAATTGAAGGTAGTCTTGACTCTGTTTAAGACTATTGAATTTTCTTTTAAGTTGGCTTTGAGCTTTGGGTTTTTTTAGTTGTAAAATACAAGAATAGTGACTGCCTGATGTCTTCCTGAACGTGAGAAAAATCAGAAAAAAAGAATACTTTGTACTAATCTTGAGGCTTTTAAGAGTGAAATGTTTCAGGTTGGATGAATACAATAATACTTTACTGAGTCCTAAGTTGAGTTGATCAGTAGGTTAATAAAATAGTGGGAGTTTTGCTCATGAAAGCAGCCGTGTTTTATGCATAATACCATACCAGTCATCAAAACTTCTTTCCTTTACTGTGGCTTTTGAAACTATTGTTTTAGGAAGTCCTGAAGAGGTTTGGGGATTTGAATTGCCTGTAAAGTATTCCTGAAATTGTGATCCCAGGCTTGCTTAATATTACAACGTGTATTTTTGCAAAGAGGTCTGGTTGGGTGTAAGCAGGCTTGGCAGTGTTTTGACTAACAAAGTAAGTATGTGCAAAAGGCCAGAGAGATTTTAGTAGGAAATATGATGTGTATGACAGCCAGATATGCTTTTCATATAATAATATTTGGAATTATTAAAAGAATACTCGATTTTACATTGATTTATTTTTCTGTCCTGTATTTCTGTAACTTAGGTTTAGGTAGCAAGCAGATCTACCTTAAGAATGGTGATTCTTCCAATGTGGCTGAACTGCTGGAAAGCTTCAAAAAAGATGCAAGGAGTGTTAAACTAAGAGCAGGAAAACATCAGCTTGAAGATGTAACTGATGTATTGAAAAGTTTCCTTTCGCAAATAGATGATGCACTTCTCACTAAAGAACTTTATCCATTCTGGATCTCTGCATTAGGTAATGTATTTAATAATGTTCAATACAGGAAAGGTTATGTGTACATTTTCAGTATTAAATTTGAGGGAGTTGTTAATTACTTGCCCTGTGTTGACCTGTGTTATTTGATAATCGGCAAACAATTGTAGTAAGGAAAAAAATGTTTAGAGCTTGGCTGCAAAAGATTTATGTTAATCAGAGATTATTTTATTGCCTTTAAGTGAACCAGGGTAGTAATAACAAGTAGCGATGTATCCTTGACAATATATCTGTAAACAGTAGACCAGTATTGCACTGTGTCCTAGTTGGATCAGCTAAGGCAAGAAGTGATGATTAATATTTTATGGAAGCATTAATGGTAGAATTCAAGAAATAGACAAATGGAAAAAAACATGTACTCTGTCTTTTCATCATATATAGAAGTCTAGTTCAAAAATGGCAAAATGTTGATGCTATCATCTGCATGATAATTAAATGACAGTCTTGCTTAAATTCTTCAAATACATTTTATGAACATTCCCACAAAGTTATGTATATTAACAATGTAGACTTGTTAACAACTGTTACTTGTTTTTTGTTTCCTTACAAATATGAATTCAATTTGAAAGAAAATTTAAGTAACTTCAACCCAGACTGTAACTTGTGATGTATTTATAACATGAGGATGTGTGTCTCTGTATGGTTGAAAACAGAACCATGAGATTACTAATACATTAATTAGTTACTCATTATATAAATTGTGATGATCTTTATAGTGTTCTTACAAAACAGCTGTATTTATTTGTTTCTATATTGCAGTATTTACAGACTGCAAGAAACAAACTCTTTCCCTCCCAAACTGTGGTATAAAATTGCAGGTGATGCATAGCAATAAGAGATGCATAGGAAAAGCTAGCATAGACCATTAATTTCTACATTAGTCCATTGAAGTCATATAGGCCTATTTACTGTGTGGTGAGTTTTGTCTTTAAAAAAATATATTAAAAGCATATTCCTCTCTGATTTTGCTTAAGTTCAAACTTATGGAGGTTGCTTTAATAAGAACCACTAGAAGTTTGGGAAATTCAAGTATGAATTTTACACATTTTTGACCTTTAACCTCTATTTGAACAAACTAGAGGAAAGAATATTAAGAATTTATTCACTTACCACAAGATTGCTCTCATCAGAAATCAGAAAAAGTTGTATCTGTAGCAGTTTAAAGTTGGCTGTTCTGTGAAAGTGCATGATGGTGTTACAGTGATTTAACTTCCTGATTTGTACCTGGCGCTAAAATTCTGCTTCAGCTTTACAGTGGAGAATCTTGTCCTGTTATAGTTAAGTGACACTGAAAGTACTTGTGGGAAGACTAAAACACTGAGGAAGATAGAGTAGAAGACCTTTAAGCTGGTTTTTTGTTGTTTGTTTATTTATTATTCCAATTACCAAAGAAATCAAAACATAGTGTGGTAGTTAGTGGAGAGTGCTAGCAATCAGCTGGAAGAGATAAGAGTTCTTCTGTGCTTTTTCTTTTCAGAAACTTGAGAGAAGCAAGGGACTGAGAACTAAAAGCCAAATAAATAAATAAATAAAATTTACATTAACTTTGCTCATGCCCTGAGCAGGATTATGCTTTGTAGTATCTATGCAGCACAGGGAGGTAGACTTAACTTGAAGGTAGAGAGCTGTGGCTGTGTCTCAGATACTGTAATTGGCAAGACTGGAATTCCTATCATCGGCTCTGCCACTGTTCAGCTATGTAACTTTGTACAACTTATTCACCGCCCCTTCCCCTTTGCTCTCCTCTTATCAGTCTTATATATTTGGATCTTTAAACTACTTCAGACCTTAAGACACTTTTCCAATAAAAATAAAAAAGATGAAAAGGTCTTTTCCTTTCTCATCTCTGGGAACTCCTAGAAGTACATTTGCACTTGTGCATACACAGATGCACTCACATGTGTGCACACACAAACTACAGATTAAATATCCGTTGAGAGGAATATCCTGGGATTTTGTCTTAAACTATAGCAAATGGTGCTTGAGCATAGAACTGGCCCTCTTTATTGCTGATAC